GATAGGTCAGGTGATCGACCTCTTCCTATCCCTGAGTTTGAATAATTATGATATAAATAATTTTCAACATTTCTTTCATAATGGGGGAGTGTCATAATGAAAGTCATGTTGGAACCACTGTATTGATTGAACCCGAGTCTCTAAATTTAACTTTTCTAACATGTCTGGAAAACCGTTATTAATTTATAAAGTTTAGATATGACAGTTTGACATTTTTGAGAGCAACGACGATCAAACTTGTTTCCATAGCTAACTAAGTGAAATTGTTTAAAAATGATAAAAATTGGCTATAACTCAGTAATCTTTTGAAAAAAAAACATTATAGCTTATATCGCTGAAGAGCTTGAAAAATGGCGCTTTTTATGAAGTCATGGCCAACTGGGTTTCCATTTAATAAAACATAAGTTTGTGTTATATGTCAAAAATGACAGGCTTTATAAAAAAACGGAGAACCCAGTCTCATTAAAGATGTGATTATCTACAACTTTTATCTGAAAACTTTTTGTCTAAAATAGATTATATATAAAGTTTTAACATGTCGCGTTTTTCTGTTATACAATCAAAGCCGCCTGTTGAAAATACGGCTTTTACAAATCATTGAAGTTTAAAATCCATTATGCAGAACTTCATGTACATCGTTAGAATCGCAATAAATATATATATTTAGATATGTAAAAATCTAATATGGTGTCTATACGAAAACATAAAGTTGATGATGGTGGTGAATGGAACATCGGATAACAAATCTTAAAGCACTTTTGTGTTGCTGGAGAAAAGTGGATATGAAAATGTGCTTTTGGTTACCTTATCAAATAACGCCGAAAAAATAAAATCGGAATCTTCAATTTCCGGTTTTTCTCGAATATCTCCGGAACGCTTCGGAATTTTTTAATGTTTTGAAAAGGAAATAATATTGTCACATTAATGCACAACTTGGTCCTAATTTAACCATCCTCATGTCTCATCATAATTCCAATGATGGATGTCGAATTTGAATTACCCTGTATATAATTGAGCCAAAATGCAAACATGGTAGTTCTGTTTAGTTTTTTCAAATGAGAATATTTTTCAAAAATATTTTTATAAGGTTTTAATTATGTATTATTTAAAAAAATGGGGCATTTAGAACATTGTATTGAACGTTTTAGAATCATCTCAAGATGTGCACCTCTTTATTTTTATAAAATAATATTTACCACCTTTTAATCTCTTCAATCTACTTGTTATTATTATTAATGAAATTATCTACAACATACATCGATTATTTCATGCGAATAATCTATAATCAAATTAAATACGTTACACATATACAATTAGAAGCGATTAGTGCAAATGTAATGATGTATGAATGAAATAAAATGGTATTTCATCTATTTTATGAGAAAGTATGCATAGATTTTGAGCGTTCACACGTTAGAAAATCGTTAAACTCAAGTCAATCATGATGTAACATCATAAAAAGTATTGAATGCTTCAGTTGGTAGTAAAATTACGACAAATTTACATCTTAAGATTGTCTTATTGTCTTCATGTAGTCTAGTAATTGAAAAAGATTTTTGTGGATTGTTCGTAGCTTTTAATTGTAACTACTTTGATATGTAAGTGGCCTGTATGAGATAATATCACAATATGGCATGTAACGGGTAATTATGAAAAATTCTTCAGTCTGCACTAGGATTCTTCTATTTTTTTCATTTTTATCTTGCTAACTATAATAACTTCTTTGTTGCAGAATCTAATCCGAGAAGTTAAGGATTACGTTAGTTAGTATATTTCTTATATGGTATTTGTAGAATGATGAAAGGAGGTTAATTTTTTGATTTACTGGACCCCTTGTACATTATTCGTTTGAAGGTATATCTTATTAACCGCCAGCCAACGTACTTTAAAAACGATGTTGGCAATTAAACTGAGGGGTATCTGCTGTAAATTGGCTACAGTAGACCATGTAGTATGGGGATACTGACCTAGTAGTATGGGGATACTGAAAAATGTATTTACACTCTGCAACCCTCTTGTCCAATTTTCGAGTCAATAATGTATGATTAATTATCATACATATGTATGTATTATCATACATCAATAATGTATGATTAATTTAGATATCATACCAATCTGTCAGCTTTTTTGTTACTACTTTCTACTACTTTGACCGTATCCCTTCATTGTTGCGAAGATTATCTTCATATAGATGACCCTACTTAAATACTTAATAATTCTGTATTTAAAGTCTCCCCAAGAATTGCACAGTGACGTCTACAGTATGTCCCCGTATTGTTTTTGCAAGTACAAATGCACCAGTAATTAATGAGAAAATTGCCAAAATTACACACCGAATATTCACAAAACACCACAAAATGAAAATATTGACATATTTAAAAAACAAATGAACATTTGTTAACTTTTTAATGACTAGCAGCGCCTCTAGTGTTTGTTCGCACAGTATACTTTTACTTCCAATCCTTGCCATTACAGAAAATGTTCCAAAGGGTTTTTTTGTGATGGTAATATAATCTGGATTTCATTCTTTGATAGATGGTTATTATTAATTTTGATTAACGTCATATTTTTTCCTGTTATAAAAGTAGGTATTACATTTTCCGATAACTATTATCACCTTGAACTAAATAAATTTTGTGCTTCATTAACATTTTAAAACTCCAGAAAATATGATGTTATTTAAAATTCTATGAATAAAAAATTATCTAAAAATGAAAACGAAATTATAATACCATAGAAACGCGTTTTGATTTTTAGGAAAATTCAATTATATTTTCATGTTTTTTTAATTTCCTCTAAAACGGCATAGAAATTTGGAAAAGTATAAACGGGATTAACCGTTTTAAAACAAGCAAAAAAATTTATGGAGAATGCATATTTCTCCAAATGTATATAAAAATGTTTTCCTCTTGTCAAGATAATCCAGGGACATACTGTATATTTATTTCTAATCCATATTTTTTCTCCATTTTCATTCATACTTTTTGATATATCACAGTCTTATTACGAGTAGACACAGATAAGTTCATGTCTAAGCTTTTCTATCTACCTAGGTTCGTACCCCGTCACGGCATATAGATGAGACATAAATAGATTTAAATTTATTCCATCAATTAAATTTACATCTATGAAATTTTTAATGATCGTCGTAAACCTTGCCTACACAATATTTTTTAAAATGACATAAATTTAACTAAATTTTTGTTGTGATATATTTCTTCAGTAACTGATTGGTTTTCGACACTTTTATTTGTTTTTGTCTTTAATTGCTTTAGGTACAATAATCATTGAACTGTTTATTCTGTTTAATATTAGTTAGATGTAGGAACATCAAAATAAGAGTAATAAATAAAAAAATATAACTATAACAAAGATCAAGACCAATTAGATAAAAATAAACAACCATACAGGTCAAAGAATAAATTAAACAAAGAAAAAATCGGTAATTTGTATCTAATAAAACTATTACCGTAAGTTTGCAAATGGCAATAATAATCACCATACAAATTAATAATTCCAAATAAATGAATTGACCTAGTTACATAAAGGACACGATTGCAACCATTTGAGGTTGAATGAAAATTTTAAAAATTCGACTGTACACAGCGTAAACATATTAGACTATTAATAGTTTTGTCACTTTTACTCTAAAAGGTAAAGTAATTAATTTGAAATAAACTTAATTCACTTTTAAAATATTGGTAGTTGTAATCCTTATAGTTAATAATATTTTTTTACACACAAGACTAATGCAAAATAATGATCTTCATTAGCACAGCTAAGAGGGCGAATTAATATTCACTGGTTGTAGTTTTTTTAAATAACTTTACGTACCTCTTATTCTCTTTATGCATTTGAATATAATATAGAAACTATAATATCATATTGAATATGGAGTATAATACTAATAAAATTATTATAAAGCATATCCTTTTAATTTAAGACTTTTTTTGTTTATATATGTTTGGACTTAAATGTTCTAAGTTTAATATAAGGTTATAATAAAATAATATATAAATGAAATTTGTCAATCCTGATTAGCTTTAAATACATAAGAACGTAATAAAAATGGAGAAATAATTGTAAAAACAATATATTTTTATTTAATATTTGAAGAGCAAGGAAAAAACTATGTCACAAAATTGATTTTTACAGAAAAAACTGATTTAATGTTGCCAAATATCATGTTAAAGTTGCAAAAAATTTGATATTATTAGATATATTTGATTATATTCAATTACAATTTGGCATGTGTTTGGGACTTCTCAACAGATTAAGTTGATTACTTAAAAGCTCCTATAAGATGAACATCGTTGTTTTTTTTCCTTTACCATTCATTTTTTAGAAAACCTCTAATTGTATAAGTACGATTGTTCTATCTATATTGTGCATAATCTATGTTGCATAAATATGAACATATTCTCATTATGCAAATTTTAAACATGATGAATAAAAATTATTAAAAAAATCATTAAAATAATGACAATTCATCGTTTTACTTAGTTTCATATAAAGCACTTTTTAGTTGTGAAAAATAAAATATGACAAAAAAAACGAAAATATAATCTGGTAAACATAAATATTATTCTATACAATAAGTTAAAAAAGGCACACCACAAACAAGAGGACATCATTCAAAAATGAACTTTTATTTTTTATAACTAATAAAAAATTATTTGTGATGCAACACAGGGTATATCTTATCTTGCAACTTTTTTATGTTTTTTAATTCTTGTTTTATTTCTTTATTGTTCTTATTTTATATTAATATGTCTTTTTAGTCTAATAAATAAAAATAATAAATGTAAATATATTATTTAACAAAAAGAATAGAAAGAAGTAAAAAAATTATTTAGAATCTTTTAAAATATAGAAAATTATAACAATGTCAGTAAATAAAATTAGGTATACATTCCGGTTTCTCAAATAATTTTAAAAAGTATTAGAAAACACTAAAGATAGTATGAGGTAAGTAGAAAAAACAATTATATCAGACTTACCCCAATAATACGAAAAGGGTCTTCCCGAAGAAACCGAACTCGAAGAACTAGATCGACCAATAGACGGTAGGTAATCCTTAGTTAGCACACCAGCGAGTACTTAAGGTACTCGTTCGGTTCCACCGAATGACACTCGAAATATGACACTAAGAAGGCAACCCACCGCCAACCCTATCTTAAATAAATTCGCAAGAACAAGTGAAAGTACCGCTGCTCGGACTACCGCCTCGGCTTAAGATATGCTCGATATACGCGTCCCTGTTTTGAATGATAAGATGGGGTCAAGTGGTACCTCTACCATGACTGGTCGTACCTACTACGTAGTAGGTAGGTACTGGGTTTGATGGAGTAAGCTTTGGTCGAGCTTAAACAGAGATTCCAACATGAAACTACAGTGTTGTTAGATAATTCTACAATTTAACATTTATTTATCCTATGCTGATTTGAACTACGTGCATTACTATTTTAAGAAGTAAGTTACTGCGATGAATCGTAACTTCAATACGAAAACACAGAAAAATAAATACAATAGTGTGGAAATATTGTTAGTGGATTTTACAGTCTCTAAATATTCATCCATACTATAAAGCGCATGCTCTGAGAGGAACTTTTTAATAACAATTTTAAATTTTTTATTGTTTAGATTTTTTACTGGAAGTGGTAATACGTTGTAAAGTTTTACATTCAGAGAGTTCTTATCTCATTTACACAATCGAAATTTATTTGATCTTATTGAACTTGCTAATCTTGTGCCATTTATGAATGTCCGAGTTATGGGTAAAAGAAGATTCATTTTTATGTATCTTCAACAGTTGCTGAAGAATATACAGGGTTGTTCGCCCCATACGACACGGAGTATTGTAGCTAAACGATTGGATTTTTACAAATTGTAAGTTTTGGGTTCGTTGAAGGACTACTAGAGCTACAATTTAAAACTAATTTTACAAGATACAGAGTGTCCCAAATAAGTAAAAAATATTATAGTCGTATTTTTTTAAATAGAACACCCTGTATATTATTTTATTTTTAGATTCTACGATTGAAATAAAGGTAAATTTGATTAAGGTTTATCACAGTTAAACCTTACCGTTTTTGAAATATTTTCAATTTTGTTGAATTTGCAGTAAAAAATGTAATGCTTCATTTCACTAAGGGTATCAAAGTTTTTAATACTAAATATTTACTGAAGATTATTTATTGATCAGATATTGGTGTTGGAATAATAAAAATTATACTACCTTATACGGACTGTCCAAAAATTTATATCAAATAATTACTAGCTTTAACCGGCAATAACTTGTTTAATTTAAATAGAAAACCCTGTATATTTTACGCGGATCAGATGCACAATTTAATTGTCTATCAAATTATATTATACCATTCTATCCATATCTCTTCAAGTTTTCGTAGAAAATGAATTTTCTTATAATTTAGTCTAATTTATCATTATAGCCATGGAATATTGGCATTTTAGATTTTTTTATAGCAACATATTATGTACAAAATGTACAGGTAATAAAAATAATCATTTTGCTAGTCTATTTCTTTACAAAAAGAAAACTATTTAAATCTTTGTAGAAGAGTCTACCAATTTAATATACTACCATTATTTCCGGCCAAAAATGTGTTAATTACATACGTAATTGTTTTGATTAATAAATTATTGTATATAAATGTGGATTTGACTTAGAAATCAATATAATAATTAGGTATGAAAATGAACGTCTCTGTTCATATAAATAAGCATTCGTCAAAAAATGAAATAAAATATTTTTAACTTTCTTATAAGGTGTTACTTTTTACCACACTGTCTAATACACATACAAAATTCAGTTTTTTAGTATTTGGAGTAATTATTATTAATCAACGTAAACATTCAATTAATGTAGTTTGAACACTGGGATCATATTAATTGGTGCACTTTCACAAAAAATAATTAAATAGTTTTTTTATTTTTTCAATGGAATAAGCGAACTATACCGACAATATTAGTATCTGCACTCTTTGAAAATTTGTTACATCTTTAAAAATAATCTAAAATGTCAATATTCCATGGGTATAGTGATAAATGAGGTCTAAATTATAAGAAAATGCATTTTCTATGAAAACCTGAAGAGATATGTAAAAAATGGTATAATACAATTTGGTAGACAATTAAATTGTGCACAGAGTGTTCCATTTAAATTAAACAAGTTATTGCAATTTGAAGCTAGTAATTATTTAATATAAATATCTGGACATTCTGTATAAGGTAGTATAATTTTTATTGTTGCAACACAATCTGATCAATAAATAATCTTCGGTAAATATTTAGTATTAAAAACTTTGATACCCTTGGAGGAATGAAGCCTTGAATTTTTTACTGCAATTTCACAGAATTGAAAATATTTCAAAAAAGGTAAGGTTTAAGTGTGATAAACCTTAATCAAGTTTACCTTTATTTCAATCGTAGAATCTAAAAATAGAATAATATACAGGGTGTTCCATTTAAAAAAGTAAAATTATAATATTTTTTACTTACAATTTACGGCGTTATTAAAATTTATTCTGTACCCTGTGTCTTATGAATGCTGACAAATCTTAGATTTGTGAAAATCTCCCTTTCTTAAATAATCTTTATGTTCTTTAATTCGAACATTTAAGGGTATAGATGTTTCACCAATGTAAAATTTATCGCATTCACATTGTATTTGGTATAATACATTTTTTTTTGTTGTTCTGTATTCACTGGTTTAGTATTTTTATTACTGTAAACTAGCAATGGGAACTATCGAATGGTTACTGAATGAATGATTTCAACTATCGAATGGTTTTATTCGAATAAAATCATTCATTCATTTGTATACTAAAGCATACGTCACAACCTCGCCGTGCGACTAAATGGTTATGGTTGAGCCACGACTATCGAATGCTTTTGATAAATGAAATTTAGTATTCGTTTGATTTTTGTGTGCGTCAGTGCATTATTAGTTCTTCCAAATTTTTATAACTTTGCCTTATAAATACTGTGCTATTTTTGCTTTTATTAAAATATTTAAAATACTAAAATAGTCGTTTTTTTTAATTGACGATTGTGTGCGTGTGCAGGTGACAAAATTTTTCCGAAAATTTGTGTGATTTTCCGTAGCCCGATCTTTCAATTATTTTATTTTATATGGTATATGGTCTATTTTTTAATGGGAAATTTTGAGAAGTAGCAATTTTTAGAGAGATGAGATGAACTTAGAATTAATTTTAAAAATACATATTTATATTTTAGATGTTTTAATAATATGAATTAGTCGAACTTAATAATCATATTTAAGTAAATGGTTATCGAACTCAAACTATGGGGTGAGAAAATTAAATTGAAAGTTTTACACATGCCAATTTAAAAAAAAAGTTAACGATATTTGTATTTTGTTTATGCTAATTCTCTTACATGTAGTTTTTTGCGAACAAATATTTCATTTATTTTTTAAAGTAAATGCCAGTAAAAGTAAATATTATTTTTAAATAGTAATATAAAGTACCTAATATAAATAATTTTGATTTCTAATTGTTTATTTATATTTTCCTTCCATTACACTGCATGCTTAGAAAATTAATAAATGTTTATATTTCATGATTTTAAAGTTTGTTGTTAATATAACAAATTAGTTCTGTAATTATTATTATTTAATAAACCAACGTTGCCAAAAAACTTAAAGACTATATTATTTTTAAATAGGATCTAATATAAATAATTTTGGCATCTAATTTGTTGTTTATATTTTGCTACTACGTAAAAAAAAATTTATATTAAATTATTTTAAATTTTGTTGTTAATAGGTATAACAAATTATTACTGTTATTATTATTTTTATTAAACCAGTCTTTGCTTAAAAACATTAAAAATCATTTTCCTACATCCAAAATAACAAGTATTATTGCAATGTAACAACAGAATATTAATAAAAAAAAGGCAAAATATATATATAGTAATATATATATACTATCCCTAACTAACTAAAGCCAAACAATAATATTCTTTGCTAATATCAACTAATACCAATAAATGGCAACGGCGCCCTTCATAATGTATTTTCTGTGTAAATACTAGGACCTCAATAAAAAAAATAATGTGTCCTTATCTTTATATGACTCCGCAAAAAATCAAAGATGCCGGCTTCTCTACCACCGACCGCTGTCGGGTTTCTCGGAAAGAAACCTACGTCTCCGGGCGACAACTAAAATCCAGTTAATATTTTATTATAATCGATCCTGATGAATAAATGAATTTCATAAATGAATGAATTTTATAAATGAATGGTTCTTGCTGCCGAATTACTAGAATACAATATTTCAAGGCAGATGACGCATCTATTCGATAATATTTATTCGAATAGTTTTCAACGAATGTTTTCTTACTAGCTGTCGAATTATTCGAATAAATTGCAACTATCGAATGTTTCGATAGTATTCAATCGATAGTTCCCACTACTACTGTAAACATAATGCCGGGTCCAGACCAAGGTGACAAAAAGTAAACACGATTTTAAGACAAAAAACAAAACAAACTTGTCACAAAAAATGGAGGCTTCTGACAAGACAAACTTGAGACAAATTGTTCACACCGCAATAACAAAAGTACAAACAAGTCAAAAGTTGAGTTGTTGAGAATGAGTTTTATTAACCATGTGTAATTTCACTGGTCTCCTACTGTTGGTAGCACATGCCATCCACACTGCGCCGATAACTTGTCGCAAAATATACGAACTAAACATAGACACTTATTTGATCTTTACCGACTCTGGACGGGACATTGAAAAGTCTCCGAATTTTGAAACAAAACAAAAATGAGACAAAAATGTCGCAGAAATATATTGGATTTGTCACAATTTTGTCATAAAACATGAATGTTTCTGTCTTGTCACTGTTTTGTCTGCATAGTCTGGACTCGGCATAACTTCTGACAAGCAGTGTCCGTTTAGGTTTAACGCAGAAGTGTTTACAAAAAATAACTATTTTATTTTGTAGATTTTTCTTGCAGTGCAGTGGCGAAATACCCATAAAGGATTTTTTTTGGAGAGATCAACTTTACGTTTGAAAAATTCCTTTTGTTATTTCATACTATTGAAAACTTTGGTATTTTTTTATCTTTTGTATCTTTGGGATTCTTAAACTCAAATTCTTCAATTTTCATTACCAACATATGATCTAGGATTTAACTCTCGCAACGATGTAGAAGAATAGGTTGTTTACTAAAGATAAAATTGCAAGTTGGGCTACAATAT